TCCTTCCTTCCTTCCTTCCTTCTCTCCTTCCTTCCTTCCTTCCTTCCTATTCACTCAGAGAGCTTAAACTCAGCCAGGCCCCCCATTCTCATTTGTCTACATGCGTCATGTTAAATTAATTTATATTACTTCGGATCTTGTAGTATTCACTTGGATAAGAAATAAATAAATATCTTTAAACCACTGTCTTCTTGTTTCTTATATTATTTTCCATACATGTCCGAAGATCCTTCATTATTGTCGTCTTACTAAAGTCCGTTCCTTGTATATTCTACCCATGCATTACTCCATTTTCGGTTTACCATTTACTTTCCCGGCCACTTCTATCAATAATACCTGAGAGAGCAATAAATTTGAATTAAACATAAGAAGGATAATCAAAAGTCATATACAGAATCGAATGAAGATCATTATGGAGCGCTCAGTCTTCGTAATATATTCATTGCATTTAAACTTACCTCTCCTTTTTAACTGTCCTGCGTTTTTAGACTGTAAGCCGCTTCGGGTCTGAATTCTGTGAGAAAAGCAGAATACAAATATAACAATAACAACAACAAGATATTAATATATGAGAATGTATATAACAGATTAAAGAGAAAAATCTAAATCATAGGTCTATCAGTAAGATGTCAAAAATGTCAATTAATAAATGAATTGGTTGCAGACGCTTAATCAAGTAGAGAATTGTGATATCTAACCATATGATTTAGACAGAAATTCAAAAGTAGAAAATATTTTAAGAAATAAAAACTAATTGAGAGCTGAGGAAGTTAAGAATGGCCTCTAATTACCTCTAATTTTAGCTAATTTGTTATTTCTTCCACTTTTAATTAGTATTTTGTATTGCTATTCATTTTATATTGTTATTGTTTTTAGTTTGCTTCCTTTTTATGATTGGGAGGGGGGTTGGGGTTAGGGGATTATTTAGAAATGCGGTTTTTAATTGTATATTGCATTTTATTGTTATTCTTACTTGTAACCCGCCCCAATCTATTATTATTATTATTATTATCATCATCATCATCATTGTTGATCTACGTCCTGATGGACTTGTGCTTCCGTCTTCTTTCATGAATGATTCCATCCTGATGTTTGTTTGACATATGCTAGTTGTGTTAATAATGAATGTTAATGCTAATAATAATGACAATAATGATAATAATAATACTAATACTCCTCTCCCCTGTCTGATGGAGCAGGGAGCTGGAAATGGTCCATCTGATCCGTCGTCCAGCGCTGCATGGATGAGCAAAATGAACAGAGTTCGAAAGAGGATCAAGGTTGTGTTTGTGCAAAATGCCATCAGGATGGAATCATTCATGAAAGCGGATGGGATTTAAGGGTTTGGAGGGGCTTTCGAAAGCCACACTTATTGCTTCGGTTGTGAAACACACCATTAACATTCCCATTCCATCTCACCGTCCCAGGCTTTAATTTAAAGCGTCTTGTGCATTCCTGGTGCATTCTTGGCATTGTGGCCACCGAGGGAGAGGAGGAAAAAGCAAAACTCCTTCCTTCCCGCTCAGATTATCCAAGATTTGCTGGATTTAATTTCCTCCTTGATGAATTTTGCAAGACAGAATCCAGTTCCTGTGTCCGACTGTCATTTTTCCCCCTTCCTTCCTTCCTTCCTTCCTTCCTCTCCATCTCCTTTTCTTTTGGTGTTTCATTTTTATCTGAATTGCAAAAGACACCAAAGCTTGCCTCATGTATTTTGTGCATTTTGGTTGATCTAATAAAGGTATCATTTTTTTTTTTTTTGTGGATTTGGGATGTTATTGTACTTTGCTATATTGTAATAATTTAATTCTATTTTAATGTATCAGTTTTGTACATTTTTAATTGCATTGGTTTTTTTAATATTATAAGACACTCTGAGTCCCAGTTTTGGGGAAAGGCTGGGATACTACTACTACTACTACTAATAATAATAATAATAATAATATAACTATCCCAAATATCTTTCAGGTTGTAAGCCTGAGGATGGTAAAGTTTGCATTTGTGATCTTTGCAAACTGCTCCAGGAGCCTTTGGGGCTAAAGAGCAGAGTTTTTAAAAATTATCTAAATAAATATCTTTTCCTTGTTTGGATCTGACAACCAGCAATTGGGGTAGACTGCTTCTGAACAAGGAGGCTTCATTTAGCTATCATCGACAAGAACCATTGACAAATCCCTTCCTCCTAAATGAATTTCTCTAATTCCTTTTTTAATAGTTTAAACGTCTTCAAATGGGTCTTAAGGCTTTCATAGAATCATGGAAGAGTCCCCAAGGGTCATCCAG